AAAAATTCTATTATTTACTGCTTTGCCTAAGGGGCATACCCTATTATATAGAATTCCTAGGCATTCTATTGAAGGAATAGGTAAAATACGTAATAATGTTCATAAATCGTACTTCGCTTAAAAAGCATACGTCATTCTTTAAAATGTTCAGCCATTCTACTGAATGATGAGGCAAATGCTTAATAAATTTCATACTCTATACTTTTAATATTAAATGAATAAAGTACATAATTATTCTCACAATTTCAGAAATAAAGCTCTCACTTTTGACGATTCAGCAGTCCTTGAGCTATATTTGGCTTATTTTTAGAATTTTTTCGTCACGACGTCACGTCATTTGTAACGGAATGCGAACTCCCAAATGTTTACGAAAACGTTTCCTTGACTCGTTACCTCATCGTAGTGCATTGTGGGACATTGTTAACTAGAATGACGAAACTGGGATTAATAATAGATGATCGAAAATAAAGCGATTAAATAAGTCTACCGGCTGTATGGTGGTCAAAGAGTTGATCTCGAACCAGGAAAATCCCATGTTTGAAACCCGCATCCTGCTGGGGTATGATTTATTTCTGTTTTTTTTTTTCCTCTTTTTTTTTTGTCTTTCTTGAGTTTTGAAGGGGACATTGACCCAGATCTATGGTGCCCACGATAAAGTGATTATTAGAAAGGTTAAATACGTAAATACTACCATTTTTGTTTTGAAAAAAAAAATGCTGAAATATTTATTAACTATTAACGAAATTCGTTTTCTCGAACCATTCGTTTCCTTGAATTCATTTCCATGTACCAGGAAGCGGTTTCGTGCGATACAACGAAAGTTTCATGAAATTTGAATATCATTTTTTTTACAATGCATATTTCATACTGTGCTTTAAAATATTGAATTCTGTACAATGACTATGCATTCTATAAAATACCAGCATTTAACTCGCATACGGTACCATTTAACACACTTGAATTCTTGAACCAATTAGAAAAGACACAACTTTTTTCTTCCTGGAATCGTAAAATGAATCTGTTAAGAAATACATTTCAATATAATTCATAGTCACCAACAATGTTTGCCTTGTTCTTAGTGAAGTTTGGGTTTCAGTTTTTTTATACATAATTATTATCTAGGCACAATTAATTTGCTGCGTTGAAAATAAAGATATTAAACAGCTTGTAAAATTAAAAAAAAGATGTAGTACTTTGGAAAAGTTTTGTTCTAAGATACGTTACTGAAGTTTTTTTCGTCCAATTTTAAGATACAAGACCTTAATTTACTCTGCTCTTGCTAATCATTGGCTTCTTTACGTACAAATTCCAACATTTCCCATCGTATCTTTTACAGCTAATCAGGGTCCTACAGCTAAGACATTACTTTTCAAGACATTTTCTCGCAACTTTCGACGCTAATTACCAAAAACAAAAATGTTATTAATGACTTGGGCACCAGGACAAGTTCCTCTAAAGAAAGTTCTTTTGTTTGACCTAATTGAGATGGTTAGAACATTTAGATTTGAAACATTTGACTTTGTCGCCATTAACTACGACGATTCCTTGCGAGTAATGTTTAATAAAACATACGAAAATTATCGGTATATTCAAAATATGTATATTGGTCTTTAATTTGGCAAAAATGTCTAATTATTGCTTTTAATTGAATTGAAAGAAATATCTAGACTTGTATAATATCTAGAATTGAAGGAAAAATGGGTTATTTTAAACTTTCTCGATCTTAGTTTTTAATTAATAAGAGCATTGTTGTGATTAAATTTAAAATAATGTATAATACATACATAAATTTTGGGAGACGGTTTTTATTAAATTTGCATAGTAAATAAAAAATTTATGCAGATTTTGGCAGTTAATTAATGCAGAGTGAATAAAAAATCAAAGATAGCAGCATATGCGAACCACTTGCGATGAATAAAAGCTTTGTTACCAACAAATAAATTTCCAAAAAATTTTGCGCAATTCTTGTCAATGTTAAATGACAGTATTAAATATTGTTTATATTTAAAAAGAAAAAAAAACAGGTCTCATTTTGATATTTTGTAATTATCGGGGTAATTTGGAATAATTAGCTTGTGAACAGCAATGCTAAATAATACATTTTGGAAAAAGATTGAAGGATTCGGAAAATGTGCTTCTTATGTGCATATTAACTTGGTTTCATTTCAATATTTTATAATTATCGGGATGAATATAGGGTGAATAAAAGTTTCCTACAAAACTAGAAGTCTCAAATTTCGACCACGTGTTCCTTATCTGATAAGGGGAAAACTAAAAACGTGTCATTTTGATAATTTAAAGGGTAAAAGTAAAATTGTTTCGGTTCGATAGTTTATAATTACCGGGGTAATCAACCTCATTTGTCGGTAATGCTAAATGAAAGTAGAAGTCTCAAATTTAAAATATGTGTTTCTTGTCAGATGTAAAGGAAAACCAATAACAGTCGATTTCGAAATTTGTAATTACTGGTATTTGGGGATAATTAGCCTCAAATTGATAGTGGCATTATATAACATGTTTTTACCGACAGAAAAGTTTCGAATTTGAACCACGCGTTTTTCATATGATTTAAAGAAAAACTAAGAGGGTTTCATTTCGATGTTTCTAAATGTCAGAGTTTATCAGAGAAAACAGAGGATATTAGCTTTTTTGGTAGTAATGCTAAACAACGAACGGCAGCAGAAACCTCTGAAAGTTTGGAACCTTAATGCTGAGTATAAGAAATCGTACGAACTAATTGCATCTAAAGTAGTAAAATAATTCTCTAGGTACTCTACGTATTTCTTATGAAATTCAAGAAAATTTAAAAACTGTCTTCTATTATTGTAATTTAGTGTAGTTTTTAAACTAATTTTACAGAAATTTAAGTTTTGTTTACACACGTTTTGCTAACAACTAAATAACAATAATTCATTTTAAGGACATGTTATCAGTTTTTAAACACTAAAAAAAATTTTAATATTGCATCTCTATCAACAATTTATTTTTTTCTCGAAATTTTCCATTATAGAATTAGGAAAAAGAATAAATTAATTCTAAAAATATCTGCGTCTTTTTTTCTGTGAAAAAAGGTCTACAAAATACGTTTTCTTAAAATACTTTTGCCATTCAGGAAAAAAATAAAACACACTTTAAATCTTGGCCCAGCCGATGAAACAGTAAATATTTAAAACGCTTTTTAGCAGCAAGTAAATAAATATTAATTTATTATCTATATATTTCTTTAAAAAAATGTTTGTTAAAACCGAAAGCAAAAAATCTAATTAAATGCCCAAGATATTCATATTTCTTTGTAAAATAATACATACGTTGGTTAAATGCACTCTTCATATAAAGTTCATAAAAACTACTTTTTTAAACAAATTTTGCAGTCAGAAATCCTTTAATTAGTTTTGTGTGTTGGTAGATTAAAGAGATACCTTACTAAATGATCCGAAACTTTTTAAATTCATTTTTTGAGTAATGTTTGCTTTCTAAACTCTCAAAAAATGTGTCGAAAAGTATATCGAAACTCTACTTTAGCGAAAGAGGGAGCTAATTAATTAAAAAAGCCCGTCAGGAAATTTTCTTAAAAATGTTCCCTCGAGAAAATACAGTTTTTTTAATCGAACATTACTCTGTTTTTATTAATTAAAATTTCTAAAATAGTTTACGTAAAAATTATAACTAATATTATTCGCACAAGTGTATAATATTGGTCAGAGAAGAAAATAATTAAGTTAGTTATTTCTAATGCTCTTAATTTAAATCATTAATATAATCCAGAATATAGTTTTGAAATTAATAGAAAAACTAAGTATTAAAAAATTACTTTCGATATTTAAATAAAAAATACATATAATTCTGAATGTCACTAATCTAATTAAAATGCTTGCAAAAAACTCAGGATTGAACCCTTATAAAATAATTACTACATTAAACTTTAATTGGATGCACTTTGCCTACCATCTTAATAAAGTGTTAAATTTAACTGCTAAAGCAAATGAGTGATTAAACTCATCGAAAATTATTTTATTCGCACATGAAACAGGATCAAATTAGGATCAATTTAGGGTGAAAAGTACTGGCACTCTGAGTGCAGCTTCCTTAAAATCAATTTTACCGTAAAATCCATTTTTATCATAAAATTCTGTACCATAATTTTTACAGTTATATTTATTTTATTATAGTGATTCATTGATTTTACAGTAATTATTACTATATATAAAAATTACGGTATATCAGATTTTCTGTTTCGCATAATTTTACCGTAAAAAGTACTGCACCTTGAGCTTTGATACTTTTTACCGCAATTGGAACTGGAATTTTTTACAGTGTAGAATGATTACTGATTAAAATATTTTTCAATAATTTGACTGGCTCTTTTTCTCTTAATCTACATAAATATTAATTCATTTGAGTTTGATAACGTTTTTGTGCTTTTTTTCTTAAGTATTAATTAACATGCAACTCTTTCTCTGTGAAATTTTTCATGTCATATTTAATAAGGATTTTAATTTTAAAATGTAGTTATGCCACGGGTCCTGTTTTGAGCTCCCGTGCCATAGGTTCTAAGTTCTATTCTCGGATCGGGCAAGGTTGACTCAGCTTTTCATCCCTTTAAAGGTCGATTAAATGAGTACCAAACGTGCTTGAGGACTAAACATTAAGGGATACAAGTTCGGCTGACCACCCAACCGGAATATTTGTTCCTGTACCCAAGAACCCAAGATCAAGAAAACTAGGATGGTCATGGCAGGCCGAGCCCCTCTGTCGGAAGACCTACTGTCCCAAGTACTGTCAAGCCTCTGAGTTTAGTTATGGAGCACTATATCCATTTTTAGATATTTTGTACAGAATATGGTGCAAGTTTACTGGTGCTAAGCAGTACTTTTCAAGTTGAATAGTATCTCGTTATTAATTTTATGACATACAAGAACGTGGTTCAAATTAGCGCTTTGTTAAGGCTGTAATAAATATAAAATACACACTCCACATTTTTTAGCAATATATATGCTTACTTATAACCAGGTAGAGGGTATGCCTGTGCAACACACGTTAACTCTGCTGATAAGCCTTGACGAACATTAATGGAGCTTCTAGTATCAGACATCCTGGGTGGTTGTGTTCCTTGGGGATCTAGAGAAAAAATAATACAAAAATGCAATCGAAATAGCTTTAACATTTGAAATAATTTCTTGAAAAAAATAGATATTGTTGATATTTCATATTGTTGATAATCAATATTGTTTATATTTTTAAAGCAAATGTTCTAATCAATTCAAATGACGCGCACTGTTTAATAACATTGACTTACATTACTACGTGTATGAATTATTAATATATACTTAATTGATATATACTTACATTATTATATTTATAATTATAATATTTAAAATTATAATATGTTATTGGCCAATAAATAGGATATTGTAATATTTTATTCATTGGCTATCTAGCTAAACTGAGGTATTTATACTCTGATTTAGAAGATTTTTCATTCTCATGGAAGACTGAGCAGCGATAGTTCAGTACTATTAAGAAACACTTTTATGTCTTTTTGACGAATAGAGGTTCACTGGCAGCTTGAAACCCACCCGGCTTCAGATTGATTGACACTAGTATGTCCAAAAAGTAAAGACGGCATTGTGCGGGTTGCTAACCACATTACAACAATTTTGCCTTAGGTTCCCTAACAGTGGAGCCTTAAATTCCATGAACTTACAATAGATTGTAGTGGGGATGGTTTCCTTTATCCTTCCCTTTTATTTCTGATCCTCATATCGTCTCTGCAAGTTTCATCAGTTTATTATGAGCAAGAACGAAACGATTTTTTAAGATGCCTAACTTCTTGTAGACTGTTTATAAACTACGTTATCTGTATTGATCTCAATGGGTAATTTGACGGAAATAAAACTAAATAAATAAAACATAACTAAATTAATTTAACTAAATAAATATAACTAAATAAATGTAACACATTTCTTTCCCAATGAAAACCTCAGCCTATGCCGAAATATACATGATAATCTACACTAAAGATTGGATTGAAATTTGAAAATAATCGCTGATAAAATTCAGATTTTCATCTGTATTCAGTTCACTGGTTTTTTAACTTAGGGGAGAAATAAGGCAGATCATAAAGATTCATAATTGTATAGTAACCTATGGTGAGAAATTTTATTGTATGCCACTGTATTTACTTTTCATTCATATTTGTGCGATTTTAAACTGATACTTCTTTTATTTATCTAAATAACTTTAATTTTATGTTTTTTTCAATAATTTTTATCCTACATAGCATTTAAAAAGTCTCAAGAATAGTTGTTTTATAATTTTTTAATCATCATTTTATTATTTATCGTTATTTTAACCGTTATTTTAATCATTGTTTTATTATTATTTATCGTTCATAGCTGTAAATCGCTATTTTAATGTACATCTTTAAGTTACATTTAAGTTTAAGTTGACGCCTAGCTGAAGCTACACTCCAAATCATTATGTTTGATAAAAAAATGAATAAATTAATAAAAAATATATATTCTGAGACTATCTAAATGCAGTTTTTAATTATTTTACTCGCAACTTAGCGAAATTGTCAGATTATAGGCCAAATCATTATGCTGTGATAAAATAGTTATTTCTGAGCCTATGCAGTTTTGATCATAAATATTACACTACATGAATTTCAGGCTTTCTATATTCATAAAATTATCATTTCAAAATGAAACTAACAGAAAATTCATCACTGTAAAACTCCCCTAAAGTGTACAATGACATTGCCTTCCATTGGTTGCTGTACAATTGTCAATCATTCAGATTTTCAAGTTAGTATCATTGTTCTGAATCACGCTGTAGATTCATGAAGTCTGAAGTTTTATAATACATGCATACATTGCTGCCATTTAACATTCCAAAGCTTACATTTTGGAGCTAAAATTTGTTTTATATTTTTGATTTAAGGAAAATAGCATTCCCGTTTTTGACTCCAAAAAAGATATTTAAGCTCATTTCAGGAAATCTAAATATATTTCAGTTCAGCTAAGTCAGTATCTTTCAGTTAAGTTCATTTTTCAGCTTGATTAAAAAAAATATTTCGAAAAATCTGGATCTGAATTTCAAAAAAAAAAAAAAAAAAATATATATNACAAAATCGCAAAAAAAAAAAAAAAAAAATATTAAGATACACTCTATTTCTTATTCAGAAATAAAGTATAAACCGAACATCCTTACAGAATACAACACCCTTTTATGCATTTACGAATGGCCTACAGCATTGAGAACTCTTTTGATATTCTTATGTTCCTTTGATATTTTAATACATCAAATTAAACTTTGAGGCAAAGAAACAATCGAAGCAAAAGCTAATAAATGAATTTATTTTAAACTGGAACGCGCATTTCGAAGACATCAATTACGTTGTTGATCTGAATATTTTTTCAAGTATAAAGCTAAATAAATGACTTGGAATGCACTTTGCTTGAGATTTATGCGAAGTTTACCAAAACAAAAGATCATAAGTCTGGATGACCTACTTTTAAGAAGGCTCCAGAAATGGGAAAATTATTCAACTGTTGCAATACAGTAGCGAAACTGGGATTTTAAAAACAAAAAAAAAGGAGACTATTTTTGGCCCATTTCAAAAGAGCCGAATCATAAATCAATCATGAAGCTGTAAGAGTTGTAGAGGAATTGTGATGCCATGTAAGAAAATAAATTTTATTTTTGTAATTAATGCATTGTCTATTGATTTACAGAGAAATATCGATGCAATGATGTCATTATTATTACAAACACATTTTTTATTTCAAAACTGTCAGAAGTATAGCTTTTTCGCAATAAATAAATAAATATTAGTTTCCCTGTCTAAAACCATATTATTAACCATATTAGTTACATTATTTACATCGCCCTGGAGCTGCACAATGGGATATTGGCGACGAACTTAAAAACATTCCTGAGGATGATCTGAAGACTCGCAATCCCAATTTTGTGAGCCCTCTTTCTCAGTTTAGACAAAGATCAGAAGGAGAAGGAAATTTTCTCCAGATCCCTGTACCCATGGCATTACTTAGTGAACAACTACAAGACTTTCGACCCGACAGATTTTACCAGCTTGTATTTGGTGGGTCTTAGGTGAGTCAAGTACCGAACACCGGTTCCTCCGAACCGGAATCCGATTCTCTAACCGCTGGGCTACGGACGTCCTGTGCAAAAGTAATTAGATTAAAAGAAAAATAAAGGGAAGGATAACTCTTTATTCATCCTTCCGTTTCGTTAGCAATTTTTTTAAACTTATTAAAATAAGGGTGTAATAGAATAAAAAACATGTTTTTTGCAGTAAAAAAAAACTGTTTAAGGAAAAGTCTAGAATTTTTCTGTTTGTGACCAATATCTACGAAATATAAAAGTTTCCCATTTTATATGAACTTTCTCTGTATATTTGATGGTTTAAAACTGTTTTGTTGGCAAAATGTTTTTTCTGTTTTTAACCCATATCGTAATTGGATTAAAACCTCCAGTTTAATGTCTAGTTTCTGCTATTCAGTTCTGCTTACCGTGCCATAACCAGGGCTAAAGATAATAGAAGGGCTGGTTCACTCCTTTGAAGTATCTCTTGCCGCGCCAATCCTCCGACGTCACTCTAGTGACGTCACTTTGGCGCAAAGCTCGCACTTTTACTTCAAGAACGGAGCGTTTGGCCTTACTAGCTCTAACTAATATTGGATCATTTCTTTTTGCGAGATATTCTAAGACATTTGTTATTTTCTATAATGACTTTCCTCAGTTTTTGCAGTGAATTTACAAGAATTTAAAACTATTATCGAAATGCCAGTTTGCGCGATTGCAACTTGCAAAAATTCTGATATAAAAACAAAAGGAAAAAGTATAATTTTTCGCGTGTTCCCTAAAGTAAATGAACAACTATGTAAAGAATGGATTCCGAAATGACACAGTTAATATAAAACAGCAATACGTTTATTCTGTCGTAAAGAACTTTTATAAAAATTCATTATCTAAATAGAAACCGCCTCGTTACTTCATAAAGAAAGGCAGGTGAAAAGAATTAAAAAATAGATAAAGTCAAAGAAAATTAAAATGTAAGTAAAAAGTATAAATAAAATATATAGTATATAGTTGAAATTCTCCTAATTTCATAACATATTTTTTAATGTAGTTATTCTAAATATTTATGATTTTTTTTAAAAATTATATTCTCTTCAATTTAAATATCTATAAATTATATCATCGTAAATTTAAATGTCTATAAACAATTGTAAAATTTCTAATGTCATTATGAACCTAAATTATTATTTTGTTTCAGTAATTAGCGTTTAAGGTTGATGTTTCCTAATGATTAAGTATGAACAAATTGCTATTAACGACATATTTTAAAATCAGGGATTCTAAATTTAACTTAACTTATCTTTATAAAAGAATATGTAGATAAAAAAAGTGTCGATATATGCCTTCATTTTTCTTAATAGTTAAAGTTAAAACTGAACTTTTTAAAATAAAGTATTTATCGTGTCATTTTCACCAACTAACAAAACATTTTTATAAGTTTAAAATGGTATTTTTTTAATATAATATCCAAGAAAGTTTTTTTTTGAACTATGTTTATGAACGGAAATAATGTGTTAATTACGTAAAGTTTGAAGGCTAATAACCAGAAAAAGTCTAACTTATTTTAGCCCTGGCCATAACTGCACCCTTTCTTCAAATCCTTTTACGATTATTTTCTATTCTTGCTCTTGCTTTTCAGCAATTATTTTACGGTTTTTTACATCATATATGCAAAACTGCGTATCAATTTTATTGAAAAATTTATACTCTTTTGGATGTTTCTTTCGATGCATTTTTTGGTAAGTTAAGTTGCCTGGCAATTTTATAGGGATGGATCACTTTAATCTTAAATGCCTATATACTTTCAACAAGACTTTTAAGATAAAAACAATTTAAGATATTGTCTCATACTGAGACACTAGACCTATAGTATCTCTGGAAACAAAATATTTGCCTCCCAGTAAATTGACCTACTTTTGAATCCCAGCGTTGACTGGTCGTACGGATTCTGTCCGTGGCTCTAACCGATCACTATACTGACATAGTTCATTTTTTTAAAGAAAAAAGCAACG